TAGCTATGGGGTTAGCGGCATCTTGCTCAAGGATGGTACAGGAGGGGGAATCGAATCCAGTAACTTTCACCTGGGAGTCGAACCCCTCAGCCACTGTACTCTCCACAATGTCCGCTGCCCTGAGCAAGATGCCCTCACCCTCCGACCCGCTCCTTAATGTCACGAAGCTCAAATTCACCGAAACGTTGGTCCTGCTCATCATCCGCTACCAGAAGGTCAAAGGTTAAAAGCAGCGGTACCTGGAAGTCGTCTCCTGGTCGTTTCCTCACCGGTTGGGACAGTTTGCTGGACGGAGAGTCACTCCTAGCCAAACAACAGAGCAGCGGTGATGAGACAAACGTTACCAGAGAGCGATCAAAGTGTGTGGAGAAGGAAGGTGGGGAGGTGTACATACGAGTCGCCATCTTTCCTACTTCGTATTTTCAGCACCAGCACCGTGACGGTGATGCCCATGAGCACGCCGGCAGCCAATAGCAGGGCGACCACGCTGATGACATCACCCGCCGCTATCTGGGGCAACGGCTTCTCTGAAACGGAGAAAGCAGCACTTCAACCGTGAATACAAATGTGAAATGCGTTTTAAAATTAGGATTTAAAAATATATAACATATATTTAATATAATAAAAAATATATAATTTTTATTATATTATTATTATTATATATTATTTAAATTATATATATATATATATATATATATATATATATATATATATATATATATATATATATATATATATATATATATATAATAATTTCTATAACCGCTGACCTTAACTGCCGGCAATTCATATATATCATTATTTTTAAATCCTAATTTGTATTCACAGTTGAAAATGAAATATAAGAAATAAACGGTAGTTATTTTAAATCCACATTGGTATTGAGAAGTATTCGGCCGTTTATTCGGCCACACGTACCGATGATGCTGACCTCCACCGACGCGGACCGCGTGCCGATGCTGTTGGTGGCGTCGCACACGTACGTCCCCTCCAGGTCGTAGGTCAGCGGGCCGCTGAAGGTCAGGGTGTTGTCCTGGGCCTCCACGCTGCTGGGCATGGTGCCGTTCACCCTGCGCAGCACACACACATCACTACTTAACCGCTAAATACTTATTCACTGAAGTCAGTGCTCTATTCGCCAACCGTTGCGATTCCCACATGGAAAGTTATGACAAATACACCGATCAACTTCGTGAAAAAAATTATATTTTATATTTCGGTAATGCCCAATGAAGGAACCTTTTGGTCTATTATGGCCCCGCAGCCTCAAATGAGTTCGACAGCCCTGCTTGAAAGACTCACAATGGTAGAGATGAATAAAGCAGAGGAAGTGTGTGATGTCCTAACGCCGCTGATTTAAAATGGCAAAAGAGGACTCTCTCGTGAAAACGTATTAAAAGCAATGAGAGTAGCTTTGTTAAAAGCATTGTGAGTAAAAATATGAGCACAAATATTCATATATGTCCCGCCTGAATTGTCCAGGCCCATTTAAATGTTTTTATATTAAATAAATTACATTACAGTCAGTTTTATGACATTTTGAGTGAAAATAATGTAAAGTAAAGCACTCTACAAATACAATATATTATTTATATTATTATATATACATTATAGTATTATTATTATTATTATTATTATTATTATTATTATTATTATTATACAATATAATATATCATTGTTGTTATTAATTCTTATGATATTATCTGGACTCACAGTTTCCACTGGTACAGCGTGACTCTGGGGTTGGCGTCCACCTGGCAGCTCAGCTGCACGTTCTCCCGGTTCAGGTACCAGTTACCATCGAAGCCCTCCACAGACACGTCCGGCTCATCTGGTGCACACACACACACACACACACACACACACACACACATATTGTTGATTTGTAAAAAATATATATATATATATTGTCTTTGATGTGAGTTTTCTGTAAATAATTGAATTGGTCAGGATGGCCAACACTACACAGGGATGCACACAAAAAATAAACACGAATGAAGACAAATATGTGCAAATAAAAACTACATTTAAAAAAAAAAGTTTGAAATGTAGTTTAATTTTATTTTTTTGGTACCTACATTGTATATCGAGCGTGACGCTGTCGGTGAACACCTCCTCGTCGTTGTAGGTGGTGACGCAGGTCAGCGTCTCCCGGTGCGTGTCCTTGCTGGGCACCAGCATGTACTCGCTCTGCACCGTGACCGTCCCGTCGGCGTTCCTGAACTCCCTGCTGGTCGCCTCGCCACCGGCGACCCGCGTCTCCCACCTGGCGCCCGGGAACGCCGTGAAACGACCAATCAGAGGGAGAGAGAGAGTAAGAGAGAGAGAGAGAGAGAGGACACATTCTGCATGACGTTCATGTTTCTGTTTTGGTGTTTTGAAGGGTGCTACTGTATATAAATAAAGGTATAAATTAGAGATGGGCATAGATTAAAATATTTAATCTAGATTAATCTAATGGTAATCTTGAAATTAATCTAGGTTGGCTCCTTTGAATGATGAAAAGTGGCTCCTTTGAATGATGTTGAAGGTGTCCGTAATATGTGTTTGCTACCTAAATAATGACCCCCCCCCTGTGGAGGGGGGGGGGGGGGTGCTACCAGAGCTTTTTGTTGAACGGAGGGTGCTGCCGGAGCCTTTAGTTGCCCGATTGTTGAGCGGGGGGGGGGGGGTGCTACCGGAGGATTTCGGTTCGCGTTAATACCGCCGATAACGCCGTTATCGGCCCATCACTAGTACTTTACTAGTAGTAAATACATATATTATATGTTTTATCCGACCTGATGGTGCCCGGTGGCTTCCCATTGGCCGAGGTGCAGGTGGCCACCGGCGTCTTGACGTTGGAGGCCCTGGCCACCAGGCTGGGCGAGGAGAGACTCATCTGGGTGGTGGGCCGCGCTGAAACCAGGGGGGGAAACAAGACCAAAACCAAAGCTCACATTCACCACTAGAGGCTCTCATTACGGTATCAGTTTAACATTCACGCTTTTAATGTGGCAGAAAGGCAGATGTTAAACAGTCAATACTGCTAAATGTTGTACATAATTTGTTCACTGCACCTTATATATTTTTTTAGATTTTTACTTTGCACTACAATTTATTTATACATTTTTATACATTTTTTATATTGTATTTTATTCTTTAATTCACTGTGTTGTTACTGTGTGTATGTATGCTGCTGCTACACTGCAATTTCCCAGCTTGGGATCAATAAAGTTTATCCATCCATCCGTCCGTCCGTCCGTCCGTCTCTCTATCTATCCATCCATCTATCCATCTATCCATCTATCTATCTAAATCATATTGACTATTTAGCAGACGCTTTTGAACCCCTACAGGTTGGGGTTCAGGCATCTTGCTCAAGGATTCCTAACTTAGCTCAAGGACTGCCGACATTGGGGTTTGAACCCACTTTTATTTCTATGGCTGCTTTTTAAAGTGCAGGATGACAGACATGAACAGATGACACACACACACACACATACTCTCACACACATACATGAACACACACTCCAACCTTACCGAACACGGTGAGGTTGACGGTGCTCTCCCGGTTCCCGGCGGGGAAGGTGGTGTACTCGCAGATGTACATGGCGTCGTCGGTGAGCCGCAGCGCCGAGAAGGTGAGGGTGGTGTCCTCCAGCGCGGGCGTGCGCCGCCGCACCGCCGCGCTCTTGAACGCCACGCGGTCCCGGAAGGGCGGCGCCACGGACACGCCCAGCGACGGGTTGGCGATGGCGACGTTCTGCTTGCTGCCATTCACCACTTTCTGCCATGTGACCTGTGGGGGAGAGGAGGGGGGGGGGGGGGGGGGGGGGGGGGGGGAGGTGATGAGCGGCGAGGAGAGGAGGTGGAGGGGAGTGTTGTATTTCTTTTTTAACCTGCACTATGTGACCTTTGTACTGCCGCTATTTACTCAAGTTTCTCAAGTATAAAGTGTGCCTGTCCACAAGTCAACCCATCCAGGTATTTGTTCCTCTATAAATCATTTTATTATTCTTACCCCCCCACACACACACACCTCAGACAACAACTGAAACTCGTCTGAAGATGATGTATCCTCATATATAAAATACATAAAATACAAATGAAGAGTGTCAGAGTCCCTTTGGATGAAGTCGTCTGCTAAACCAGTGGTCCTCAACTGGTCTCGCCTCAGGACCCACATGTGTCGTTAGTCATTAAGTCACAACCCAAAAATTAAAAAAAATGTATTTACCAATATTGTAGTAATCAACAATGCCTTCATCTATTGTTAAAAACATGGAGCAAACAAAAAGCTGCAACAATTGGGGCTAAACTCAATTAAATAGTAAGCCATTGAAACATGAATTAACATTAAACCATTAGTTAATTCATGGGCTTCTTTCAAAAGTTGAAGGTTTGGCACATGCTCTGTGACCCACTTAAAACGCCCTCAAGACCCACTTATGGGTCGTGACCCAACAGTTGAGAATCAGTGTAGTTGCCAGTTCTGACCGCTAGATGTTGCCCTAGACGCCCCGAGGATGGTACAGTAATGTTATCTGTTTCACCCTCGTTAGTAGTGAGTTAATTAGTTAGATGGTCCTCTCAGATCTGTCTCTCTGTGTTTAATAGTTTGGGTTCCTTCTTTTTTCAATGCTTACATCTCATCTGTGGCTGTGCTTTTAGCCCTTGAGTCTATGCCACTGTGTGTGTATTGTGTATGAACCTGTGTTTCATGAGAGGGAGAATTGTATTTCCATTTTTTTTAAACATAATCGTGGATAGACTGGTGTCTGAGTCCGGTGCATGTGTGGGGCACCAGAGTCTCGGTGGGTCCGGTGGGTTTACCTGGGAGATTTTGACCGGCGGGGAGCTGTTCAGGAACCGGCAGCGCAGGTCCACCTTTGAGCCCACGTAACCCGACTTATCCGCGTCCATCTCCACCGACTGGCCATGTGTTCCTATATAGGACATACGTTTGGCAAAACAAGAGTATAAGCCAAAGCGTCTGACTTTGTCACGTTCACAGATACTGGCGATCCCCGGTGGGAATCGAACCCACGACCCTCTATCCCCGCGTCACTCCCATGTTCTACCAGTTGGGCTACAGGCAGGATGGTTACATTTTTACTTGTGAATATAGACGGGATTAAAGGAGCGGGTAGTCTGCCTACAGGGAGACTGGGGGGCCATTGTTGGGTTCTGGGTTCGATTCCCCTTAGCCACGAGACTTTCCTGCCCCACAGCACGTTCACATAAAGACATATGTATGTACACACGGGTCCTGTAGTGGTTCTAGGTGCCGGCTGGTGGGGTTATAGGGGATGGAGGCCAGGGATCACAGCCTGGTATAAATAGCAGCGTCTGTTCCCACTGACTTACTGATCTGTTAACCAGATCCTGGTGACACGGAGCCCAGCGGCCGGCAGAGACTAATCTGTTGCTCACCGGGCCTCAGTGTGTGTGTGTGTGTGTGTGTGTGTGTGTGTGTGAGAGTCAAAGAGTTGTGTGTATGTGTGTGAAAAAGTGTTTGTGCGTGTGCATGAAAAAGTGTGTGTGTGTGTGTGTCTGTGTGAAAGAGAGAGTGTGTGTCTGTGTGAAAGAGAGAGTGTGTGTCTGTGTGAAAGAGTGTGTGTGTGTGTGTGTGTGTGTGTGTGTGTGTGTGTGTGTGTGTGTGTGTGTGTGAAAGAGTGTGTGTCTGTATGAAAGAGTGTGTGTGTGTGTGTGTGTGTGTGTGTGTGTGTGTGTGTGTGTGTGTGTGTAACCAGGCGTGTATGAGAATGAGGGCATCTATTATCTCTTCTCTGTCCTTTTTAATACATTTAATGAAGCGCTGAAACATTCTTGGAGAGGTCAACATTCACACACACACACACACACACACACACACACACACACACACAATCAAAGAACGCTTATTGTGTACCCTCACTGTGCTTCCAACTTGTATTAAGTATGTGAAGAACAATACAGAGATGAGCAGATATCATGAAGTAAGAGACCTTTTAAAGTTAAAAAAACGTCACCAGGGAACTTTTACGCTATTTATTACTATTTAGTCATTTATCAGATGCTTTCACCCAAAGCGTCTCACAGCGAAGAGACACAGAGATATGTGTTATTAGGGAGCAGGTCCTAGTTGCTCAGTGATGCCTTGCTCCCCTATGCCATGTGACTACTGCCCCCCCCCCCCATACCCCCATATCTTTATTTAAAGTATATGATAAGTGATCCCACTGATGGGTTCACCGACAAAATGTTTTTTTTGGGGCCACTACATAACAGTCCCAATATGAGTGATAATGTGATAATGGCCCGTCGTTTTTTTTGGATTAAGCTACGCTGCTGGATCGAACCCAACACTTTGGATCGAACCCAACACTTTGGATCAAACCCAACACTTTCCAACTTCATCTGGGAGATGAAAACCCGGAGCCGCTTCCCACTATCCTGCCCCCCCCCCCCCCCCCACTTCTCTGCCACATGAGACCCTAGCGAGACGCCGGCCGGAGCCGCTGCCATACAATGACTGTGGAGTGTGTGTGTGTGTGTGTGTGTGGAGTGTGTGTGGTTGATAGCTGGATTACAGCCTCACCCGGTCTGAGTCAGACTGATTGGACTCTGGGCTGGGGGGGTGGGGGCTGCACACCTGTGGTGCAGAGCAATCATGGCACCCAGGATAAACCAGCTATCACCACACACACACACAGGAGGGAGCGATGACTGTCATGGCAGCATGTAACATCATGCCACCTCAAATAAAAGCATACTTATGGAAATAACATCTACCATGATTGCTCTGCACCACAGAGCAGCCCAGAGTCCAATCAGTCTGACTCCGGCCAGGTGAGGCTGTAAACCAGCCATCAACCACACACACACACACACACACACTCCATAATGACATCATTGAATCTCTGTTGGCACTCATTTGTATTCATTGTATAGATCTTAAATGGAAACTATTAGGAGACAATAGAGGAAAATAAACCGCACAGACTGTCTATGGTTCATCGGTCCCTCATAGTTTATTCATGTTGAAGTAAATTGAGACAGTTAATGTTTGTTAATGTAATGTTTATGTGAGAATGAATTCACCTCAACTCTTCTTATCGCTGTTGGGTTTATTGTTGTTGTTTTTTAACGTCACATATTCAAATGACAAAGCGTTTCATGAACCGGATCAGAAGCATCCAACAGACGTCAGCTGTGTGTGTGTGTGTGTGTGGGGGGGGGGGGGGTCTGGTTAGTAGTACAACTCTACAGGATGTCAGTCCATCTAAAGGTTTTCGTGGCGGTATTGTATTCGAAGCGCGGGGGGTCGTTTCTGTCCTGAGAGGTCAGCCTCTTAAGTGCTTCCTGCCAGGGACCGTTCTCATGGTGGGTAAGATTAGAAACTCATGGTCCCATAATGGCGACCAGTATATTATGGTCTGTCGCCCATTGTCTCCTCTTCCTCAGATTCAGCGTAACGGTCCGTCTTCCTGCCAGCTGTGGTGACGTCTACCGCCCAACTAGGAGGCGGTGCTGACCGCAGGTGTGGACGTTACTGTAGTATAATTAATTAGCTCATACACTTAGTAGTTTATGACCTAATTAACTAGTTAAGCAATTCTGTTTGATATGACTTTATATTTACATTTCAAAGCAAATATATATACATATATATTTCATATCATGAACTGCCGTGGCGAATGGTTATGCTTTCACAGCATAACCATTTTCTCAAAGGGACTTTTAGAAAACGGAGACAGAATTTACAGAGTTTAACTTTTCATATTAATATGAGGTTTCACGTCACTTATTGTAAGCATCATATCATTATCATCACACAACAACAGTCCCATGATGGATCATTATTAATCCAGTAAAACTGCTTATTGCTTCTTCAGAATACAGATATTTGATGGGTTTCCTATTATGACATGAGTTTTTCTTGGCTGCTAAAGAGACAAATGAAGCAAATGTAATGCATCACTTTATAGGACGTTGTTTAATTGTGATGGTTTTGTCACTATTATGACACATTTTTATTAACTAAATCATTGAACAAATTGATAAATTAGATTATTCTACAATAAAAAATTGCCGCCCTAGATTCGTGTGTATTTTTTACACGCGTAAAGTATTCAGCAACAGTAGCAGACATCTGCTGCTCACACACACACACACACACACCCCTTCAGCCAGACCACTTTCATCAGAGGGATAATGAGAGAAGATGATGTAATGCGCTGAACACACAGTAATATATGCATGGGGTTGTATGTCAGACAAAGCTTTTGCAATTCCTTGCATGACTATTCAGTGTGTGTGTGTGTGTGAGAGAAGATTATATATTCAGGGTATTAAACTCTATCAGCATCGAATAAGTTTGAATAGTTTTTCATCTCTTAAGCGCTCCAAAATATCAGAGGAGTTGTGATATGGAGCCACGACCTCTACATCCGCCGATATGATAATTATTATTATTATTCTGTAGAAAAAACTGGAATAGTCTTTCATCAGAGAGGTCTGAAATATCATCTTTATCTTTTATATAAACAGCAGCCTTCAACCGCCCCATCTCTCTAGCCGCTCTCCCTCTCAGTCTCTCTCTTCTCGCTCCCGTCAGTCTCTACCTCTCTCTCTCTCTCTCTAACCTTCTCTCTCTCTCTCTCCTCTCTCTCTCTCTCTCTCTCTCTTTCTGAGACTTGTCTCTGGCTGAGCTGATTAGGGGCTTTAGGTGTTGCTGGCTGAGCCATCCTGCCTTTCTCTCGTTCCACACACACACACACACAGCACACACAGCAAACAAACACACATGGGACGCATAAAACCACACCAACTCACCAAGCTCACCCACACATGTAAGCATATACATTGTCTATGAACCCAGTAGCAGTCACCCTTCCCCTCTTCCTTCCTACGTCCCCCCAACCCCAACCCCCCCCCCCCTCCCCCCACCCCCCCCCCGCCCCCCCACACACACACACACACACACACACACACGCCATCCTTCCTCTCTGTTGAGGCCATTCATGTTTTAGCATGAAGGGAAATGACCTAATTTGGGCCTTTCCAATCTACCTTCGTATATGAGGTCCCCCACACAGGGCCAAGTGTAGTCGACCGTCGGTGCGTTTCCATCGGTCGGATTGAGGTAACCGTTGAAATCGTCATGTCCACCACCGTGGTCCGATTTGAGCCGATCGGTTTGTTTCCCAGACTATAAGGCCATCACTGCATCGATAACTCAATCATCGTTCCCTTCGGGATTACGGTCGGTGTGGTCATTCTGCGCATGCACCAAAAGGTCAGAGATTCAGAGAGTTACAATCCGTTTGACCTGTAAACAGCCGATTCCCCGGATACACAGACAACAGTGTGGTTTATACCATTATGGAGTCCTTTATGTTGAGATAAAATGAGGGATTGATGGGCCCAGTATTCAACTTCAACTAGCGTTGAAACCGTAATCTGATTATTCAGCCTTAATCTGACTGAAGGTGTGTATGTAAACATACTGCAAAAATTAGCACATAGGCCCATTTCACACTAACATTATAAACCGATCTAACCGTAGACAATGGGACCGTTGTTTTGCACTGACACCGTTTCTCTCACGACATACATCCCATTAAATTGCTTCGTATCCACAGGTGGTCGGGTGAATACAAAATATGAATTAATGACATTGTTGTACATCATTTGGCTCAGATATTCAACAAATAAAGTCAAACTGTAGTAATACACATAGTAGTAGTAGTAGTACTAGTAGTAGTAGTAGTAATATGTCTTAATGTTACAAACATGTCTTTTGAAGTAGGTTATTTTTTTGAAGTAGGTTATTTTTTTGAAGTAGGTTATTTTTTTGAAGTAGGTTATTTTTTTGAAGTAGGTTATTTTTATGAAGTAGGTTATGTCGCTGGCTGAGCCGGGTGAAGTGATGTCTGTATTTTTATACTTTTTAGTGGCTAACACGACGGCTTAGTGGCGTTTAGATGTATACTTCTAATTATGTCTGGGACTGGTAAAGTGGACAGGGAGGTGAAATTAAGATTATCTTTTTAATCTACTGTCTCAAAAAGCTGTGGGTGTGGGTGTGTGGTGTATGTGTGTGTGTGTGTGT